AATGTATATATTCCAAACTTTTAAAAAAATTAAATTAACTGATTAGAAATCTTTGTTTTTCTTTTTTTGTTTAATTTTTCTTTTTTTATATTAATTACATTTTATTCACTTTGCATCCTAGCTGTAGCACCTTTCCTCATTCCCTCCCAATCCCACCCTCCTTCCCTCCTCTCCTCCCATGCCCTTCTCCAAGTCCACTCATAGGAAAGGTTCTCCTCTCTTTCCATCTGACCCTAGCCTATCAAGTCTCATCAGGACTGGCAGCATGGTCTTCCTCTGTGGCCTGGTAAGGCTGCTCCCCTCTCAGGGGGAGGTAACCAAAGAGCCAGCCACTGAATTCTGTCAGAGACAGTCCCTGTTCCCTTACTAGAGAACCCACTTGGAGACTGAGTTGCCATAGGCTACATCTGTGCAGGGGTTCTAGGTTATCTGTATGCATGGTCGTTGGTTGGAGTATCAGTCTCAGAAAATACCGCTTTGCCCAGATTTTTTTGGCTCTGTTGTTCTCCTTGTGGATCTCTTTTCCCCTCCATGTCTTTCTCTCTCCCCCTTCTTTAATAAGATTCTTTGCACTCTGCCCAAAGTTTGGGTAAGAGTCTCAGCATCTGCTTTGATACACTGCTGGGCAGAGTCTTTCAGAGTCCCTCTGTGGTAGGCTCCCGTCCTGTTTCCTGTTTTCTCCCTCTTCCAATTTCTGTCCTGTTTGCCTTTCTAAGTGAGGATTGTTCATCTTACACAGGGTCCTCCTTCTTGCTTAGCTTCTTTAGGTGTATGGATTTCAGTATGTTTATTCTATATTATATGTCTCATATCCACTTAAAAGTGAATATATACCATGTGTGTCTTTCTGTTTCTGAGATACCTCACTCAGGATGATTTTTTTCTTGATCCCACCATTTGCCTGCAAATTTCATGATTTTCTTGCTTTTAATTGCTAAGTAGTATTCCACTGTGTACAAGTACCACAATTTCTTCATCCATAACTCAGTTGAATCCATCTGGGTTATTTCCAGGTTCTTGCTATTATGAATAAAGCTGCTTCGAACATGGTTGAACAAATGTCTTTGTTGTGTACTTGAGCATATTTTGGATAAATCCCAAGGTGTGGTTTCTTGAGCTAGCACTATTCCTAATTTTCTGAGAAAGCGATAGATTGATTTCCAAAGTAGTTGTACCAGTTTACATTCCCACCAGCAATGGAGAAGGGTTCCCCTTTCTCCACATCCTCTCCAGCATGTATTGTCATTTGAGTTTTTTGATCTTAGCTATTCTGATGGGTGTAAGGTGAAATCTCAGGGTTGTTTTGATTTGCCTTTCCCTGATGACAAAAGATGTTGAGTATTTCTTTAAGTGTTTCTCTGCCATTCGATATTCCAATGTTGAGAATTCTCTGTTCAGCTCTGTACCCATTTTTAATTGGATTGAAAAAATATTTTAACCATCAGTGGAATTTGATAGACTAAGCAAAGCCAAAGGCATAGAAACAAATGTTTATGGTCCTCAACTGAAGAAACATGTCCACTGAAATGAAATGAGATCATCATAATTTGTTCTTCAATATATAATTTTAAGTGATAATCTCTAAGAGAGAAGTTGGATTTGTACACAGGATTAAAGAATTACACTCTTTATGACATCTTGAGTGACATATTGTTCTCTATAGGTCAAATTCCATGCTTTATTCCTTCACCTTTACCATCTTCTTTATGCCATGATAACATTAAGCTATGCTAACTATTATTAACTGAGTTCAATGAAATAAACAGCTTCTTCCTTGACTAATAGAACTGGATCTTATGAACATATATGCAGCATTTCAGATTTTAGTTTACTGGAAGAACATGGGAATTATATTGGAGGCAGAGTAATAAACTGGGTAATAAGAACTAACATTTTATGCCTGGAACAGTGAGATCTATGGGACCTATACTTGTTTTCCATTTAGAAATACTCTGTAAGTTATACACAACTTTTTAACTAAATTTTGTATATTACTATTAAAGAATTTTAGCTTTACATTGTAATATTAAAACAAAAGTGAAAAAGGTGAAAGGAATAAGGGAGAAAAGATGCAACTCGATTTTAGACGTTAGCGTATATTATGTATATCTGTGGATAGATTCAGGAATTATGTTTTGTTTTTGTTTGTTTTTGAGAAAGTTTCCCTGTGTAGCCTTGGATATCTTGGAACTCACTCTATAGACCATCATGGCCGTGAACTCAGAGATCTGCATGCCTTTGCCTCCTGAATGCTAGGATTAAAGGCATGTAGCACTAATGCACACCAGTGATTTTAAAAATTGTACTTTGGGTGTAGTTGCAAAGTTTACAGATATTATCTAGCTATGTATGCAAGCAGAATTGAAGAATATCCCCACTTGTTCTTTTACATCAGATATGATTCTGGTGAAGTAACAAATCAGTATTATAGATTGGCTTGTATAGTTTCAAGCATGCCATTGGATTTCTATAGTACCTACTAAATGTATTTATCTAATGTTCTGATTTTTGAATCCTATAGACTTGTGTTATTTATTTAGATAGTTTTGTTATCAGGATTGCTAGAATTATTGTAATGGTTTCACAGTCTTGATAAGGTTGATATTTATATAGAAATGCACAGTAATACAATTAAATTATTGTTAATTTAAAAAATATATCTTTCAGCTACAATACTTTAATTAAAGAACAATAAGATTCTATGTTTAGGACAGGAGCAAATATTACACAAAAGTAATGCCATATTGTCCTCTATTCTACACAAAATGCCAATACATATGCAACAACAAATGATCAGAGAAGGTTTTTGTTGTTGTTGTTTGGTTTGTTTTTCTTTTTGCTTTTTCTAAGATGCTTAGGTGAGAAACTCTGGACTTTTTTTTCCCTAATAGAATGAAAGAATATTACAACTTCATCTGTAAGTCTGTTTAGCATACAATATTGGATGTTTTCTTAAAGATTCTGTCAAAAATTCTCCTTCAGTCATATTGTTAGAAGGTTGAGTGATTATGAAATACAATAATTAACACCTACTTTTTTTATATAATTCCCTGTACTCTGCCCAAGGTTTGGTTATGAGTCTCAGCATCTGCTTTGATACACTGTTAAGTAGAGTCTTTCAGAGGCTTTCCATGGTAGGCTTCTGTCCTGTTTCTTGTTTTCTCCTACTTCCAATGACCATCCAATTTGTATTTCTAAGTGAGGATTGATCATCTTATCCCAGGTAAGACCTGGAGAGGACAAAACCTCCAAAAGGACCAAATATGTCTGGGCACAGGGGTCTTTTCTGAGACTGATACTCCAAACAAAAACTATACATGGATATAATCTAGAACCTATGTTCAGACATAACCCATGGCAGCTCAGTATCCAAGTGGGCTTCCTAGTAAGGGGAACAGAGACTGTCTCTGACATGAACTCAGGCATGTCATGACCTCTCCCCAACAGCAAAGGAACAGCAGCCTTACCAAGCCACAGAGGAGGACATTGCAGCCAGTCATGATGAGACCTGATAAGCTAGGGTCAAATAGAAGGAGAGGAGGCCCTCCTCTATCCGTGGACTTAGAGAGGGACATGGAGGAAATGAGAGAGGGAGGGTGGGATTGGGAGGGAATGAGAGAGAGGGCTACAGATGGGATACAGAGTGAATAAACTGTAATTAATATAAAAAATAAAATTTAAAAATACAATAATTAAAGAAGTACATGCATCTATTATACTTTATTTAAACAAGACACCCTAAAAATAACAAGAAATTGACAATCTTCCTCTTTTAGTTGTTTTCACATGACACCATTTTCTTTAAGGAAATGAGTGTACCCAGAAGCATTGGAAACTCCCTCTCCTCTAAAGGTGATGATCATCTGGAGATTTGCATGCTTTTCGGGCCAGCAAAACTTGCAACCAAAATGTATCTGAACATTCAGAAGTACGTTATTGTTGTTACAAGTTCATATTATGAAATATTTTTCACCATGGAAATACATCTTACCTACTTAAAAAGAAATACATGGCCTCACAGATGGTCCTGGTTAAAAACAAAGTAGTCACAAAACAAAGTAAAAGGACAGGAATGTGGAAAAAGAATCCGAAGGCAAGATTAACAGGTGGCAGAGATGGGAAAGAGATGAAAAGGTGGGGTAGGAGTTAACAGAAAGCAATATATGTATATAAAATTGTCAGGGAACATATTTTATCAATAAAAATTTTAAATGTCAAATTATGTAAAGACTGAACTCTTCATTAATTTATTGTAAATGATATTTTGTTTAGTTATTGCTCTTGTGCTCATTGTGGTAATATTTTGTACAGAAAAAAAGTATTTTCTTTTCCTAAATTTTTCTTTATTATTATTTATCACAATTTATTCACTTTGTATCCCAGCTGTGTGGTAATTTTTTTAAAGTCACCTAATTAAACTATGGTTTTATGATTACAGTTGAAAAGGGCAGCTGACATAATTCAAGTTAAGCATTGATTTGGTTATGTGTTGTGTGTCTGAGACTGTTCATGTGTATGTGTGAGCCTGGAATTCAGTCTTGGTGCCTGATCCTACACACAAGGTGATCAGTGAGACTCAAGAGTCCCAGCCTCTGCATACCTTGCCAGGCTTTTACTTCTATCGGCTGACAGTCAAAGCTATGTCATTAGTGCTGTGCACTTTCAATGATATTTATACCTTTCTTCGAAGATTCTACTTTCACCATTAGATACATGCTTATTCTTAATTAATTTGGAATGAGAAATTCTAGAACAGTATTAACAGATGCTTTTAATCCTCTGGCTGTTTTTATGGACTCAAGAATGTGTAAGAAAATAAACATAAAAGAAAAGTTGAACATGTAAAATTTTCTAAGTACATAAACACTATTTTTCAGTAATCACTGAAATGTTTACTCAGAATCATTCACTGTGTTTGCTACATGATATGCCTTCTGTAGAATATATGCTATATTACTATAAATTTGATACTGTTTTACTTTTGTTTTTGTTTCTTCCAGATACTGGCTGACCAACAAAGTTCCTATCAAAAGACCCAGCACAGGCCTCCTCATGTATACACTTGCCACCAGATTCTGTGATGAAATTCACCTGTATGGATTCTGGCCGTTCCCTAAAGATTTGAATGGAAAGGCTGTTAAATATCATTATTATGATGACTTAAAATATAGATACTTTTCCAACGCAAGTCCTCACAGAATGCCATTAGAATTTAAAACATTGAATGTGCTACACAATAGAGGAGCTCTAAAACTGACGACAGGGAAGTGCATGAAGCAATAAAGCACATTTTGAAGGATGAAAACTGGACACAAACTTTTTTCTAAAGATGCTTCTGGAGATTTAGAAACAGGATCCAAAACAAGGCTGGGTTTCAGCAACCACCAGTGACTGAATAGCTGAAATGGAAGTCTATGTGAACACACCACCAGCTAAAGAAATACCTGTCAAGTGCTCTCACTGTAAAATACTCTGACTTCAAGGGTCCTCGTAAGTGCCACTTCCAAGAAGAATACAGTCTGAATGTATCACCAGTAGTGTTTACAAGATCCAATAGTGCACTCATCATTAATTAGCAAAGCAAAAATGTCCATCACTGTGGGGCAGCCCCTGTAATGCCAAGCACACTGGAAGGGAGCCCGGGAGCACAACTTGGCCCTTGGGACATTAGAACATCTCTAGGAGCAGAAACGAAGAAGAACAGAGTTCGAGCAGTGCAATCCATGAGATGGAGCAGATCGAGTTAAGGCCTCCAATCAGGACACTGAGAATGATCATGTTTATGTTTTGCTTACATTTTTGTCTTCTGAAATTTATTTTGGTTTGAGTATGGGGTGCTTAGAAATTGGTTTGAGATACAGAAATGAGAAATACATATAGATGAAAAAAAACTTCAAGCAGTCCTTTTTAAAGTTCTTATAGTTTTTAAACAGCAATCACACCAAATTTTGGGGTTTTGTTTGTTTTATTTTGCACAACTCTAAATCTCTGGATTATGTCTTAATGGTGCAGCAGGTACCAGCCAAACTATACCACTCATTAGTAATAAACAATTGTAAAGAAGTGATATTTTTAAAAATAGTAAAATTAGCAGAGAAATTTCACTCTTGGTACCAAAGATTATATCATGTTCCAACACAGTAAACCATTCTCCTTTCATGAAAAGAATATATTAACACTAACACATCAAGATGCTGTTAATATAAAACTTGGCTCAAAATAATTAAAAACTTTCAAACACAAACGTTATGTTTAATTGACATCTTTGACATTTCATAATAATTTTATGAAAACATGTTGCCCTGTAGAAGAAATGTTGGATTGATGTAGCTGAAATGTGACTTCTTCTTCTATAATATCATCTTGGTTGTTCTGGTGCAAGGATCAACATGAGCCACTTCATATCACTTTAAAATTTCTCTCTACAAAATAACATGATCAATCAAGCCTTGTTTTCATAACAGATTCAGTGCAGTTTAATAATATGTAAACACTGTGCATTTAAAATGAATTCAATTGACAAGGATTTTTCTGTAATTAAGTACAGTTTCATTATTACTGCATTTTTAAAGGAACATGAAGTTTTTCATAGAGTAGAGTGACTTTGAATCTGAACTGACTGGTAGGCCAGTTTTCTGTTTCTCTTGAAAGCAGAAGAACTGAATTCTCACTTCTGCTTTGGCCTGCAGCACCTTGACATGACTTCTTGTTTCTTGGGGAAGGCAGTCTTAAGAAAGCAGAAACAGCATGAGAAATATGTGCATTTTGTTTTTCTTATGACAAGAAATCTAAAATGAATGAATAGCATGGAGAAAGTATACATATACTGTATACATAATTTATATTATGGAAAAGGATAGTCATGTAGTGCAGTTACCAATATTTTGAAGAAAAGTTAGCAATATTTTAAAAAGCCAACAGAATCTCAGGATAAAAAGCATTTTCTGAGAACCTGTGTACCTATCAGAAAGAAAAATAGAATGGGAGTTTCATAAGTAGCATGAATTATCTCAATAAGATTTTTTTCATTAAACTCCTCATCTATTTGGAAATTTGAAAGTATTAGATATGTGTTGTATGAATATTAAATTGAAAGTCTAATTTACTGGACAAATGAAAAGTGGAGTGGGTAATGTGTGTGTCAAATTTATTTTGAACTGTATTGAAAGAAGTATTCCCAGCAGCACCTAACATCAATTCCATAGAAATCTAGAAGTCACAAGTAAATTCTTACAAGCAAATACTAACTTGGCCCTTTTTTAAAATATGTATTTAAAAGCATCAGCATACCATTTTGACTGAATTTTAAAAAGGAAAAAAAAAAGAAACTTAGGTCACAGCAAGCACACCTCAACCATCCGCTGTTTCGTGCGTTGATGTTTCTCTCTTAGATGCATTGGGTAGTGCCTTTTAACGTTTTCACATTGATTCTTCACCCTCTGCGTTGTGTTTTCTAAATGCTTGCCCAGTTAAGAGAATGTTCAGCATCAAAAGGGCTTCAGATTTGAAAGAAACTACTTTTGTTCATCTCAGGGAACTTTCAATACATAAGAAAGAATTCAATTAAAGATGTGTAGTGCTCAAAGAAGAAATACTGTGTGAGAACATTTCATCTTCTATCATACAGCTTTTCATTTATGCCCTCACACTGCAATCCTTATCATTGCCTTCTTGCAGGGAGAAGACTAACAGTGAGAGGGAGGAAGGCAGTTATGGTTTAACACACACGATAGCATAAGGGATCATAGCAAAATCAAACTATAAGTATACACTTGAAGTACCCGCATTTTCGTTAATATAACATGCTCACAGCTTTACTTGTTTTATTCCTTCTTCATGACTTAATTACGCACCTGGGAATGTTCAGACAGCTGACTGTAAAATATCCCAGTCATTGAGGTAACATGGTTGCTACTGTGCTATTGCCACAAATAGACCATGGAAATATTCTCCCTATTATTACTCAGCATGACCTATAGTTAATAATGAGTTCTGAAAGAAAATATGAATCAGTAATAGATTTTCAGGGCAAATCTAGTGATTCAGCTCACAGGAATAATGAAACTATTGTGGAAGTCTTTCTCACTGGGAGAAGATGCTGGGCATTGAATTGTCTTCATGTGTTGTGTATCATATGAACTGTATACTGATTGTTAATGGAAATCTCTACATATATGCTTACAGAAATGCTTTATTGAAGAAATGATAAGGGTAGTGTACATACCAACAAATTACTCAGCTACTACTCAAGAAAGGGTAAGCAAAGTAATTTATTTCTAGTTGTGCCAGTTAGCCATGATACATATTAGTGATGTTTGGTTCACTGAGGTATTCTCACGTGATTGTTACAAGGACTATCTATAGATGTGGAGGGGGATGGGAAAAGTTGTGTACAGTTAGCTGTTATCTCGACAAGTTTGGAAGTTTCTCCATTAAATGTTATCAATATATCAAGGTTTTAAATTTTAAAAAGTAAGGATAATTGTTTGTATTTGCTAAACAAACTCCAAATACAACCCACCTAGAAATAGATATTTTATTATATGTGCTATAAATATATCTATATAGTACAAATAGACATGTGTGATGCATATATACCATGTTATATATGTATATCTGTGTGTACACACTGAGTCTGTAATACATGCACAACTAGATGTGTGTTATACTGATATCTTCAGGGTCTGCACTGTGAACTGCCTTGGAGATCATGACCACTTTAAAAACAGAAGTTCTTTTGAGACTTCATTTACTCTGCTTTAAGAAAGACCTACTTCATAGTTTAATTATATGTTCTTTCCTAGAGTAATAGTAAGAGACTAGTATGTTCAGATCTTACAAAAAAAAAAAAAGTAAAGAAAATGTATCTTCAAGCTGGCAATGTATTTAAAATGCGATTTTCTGATTGTGGGTCTAGGCTGTGTGTTTCCCTTTATGTAGCACCCTTTAAGAAATACTGTTTCTTTGTGTAAGTGAAAGCACAAGTGTTTTAAATGTATATAACAGGAAGAAAGCAAAAGAGTTTACAGATAGCTTTGCTGCATAGGATAATTGCTACTGAATTTTTCTTACACTGCTCTGTGGAAAGTGAAGATGAAACTTACTCTGTAGGTTCATTCTGTTCCACACTGTTTTCTGTTGTTTGTGTACAGTAATTAGATATTCTTGCTTTATCATTCGTACAATTGTAAAATAAATTAAATTACTTTTTTCCAATTTTTGACTCATCTTGTATAGCTACATCTTTGATTTCACTTCATGTGTCAATATTAGGTGACTGCTCTTTGGAGCTTCTATTACTGCTTGAGTCTTTTCCAATTTCAGCCTCACTGATTGACAGTTGGTTTAAACATTTACTTTAAATGAGTTCATGGATACATGACTAATTCCAATACCAGCATGAACATCAAAAAGTCCTTAACAGTTGGGTGTGGGTAATATTCTGTGTGTGGTTTTGAGTCTGGAACATTCACTACATGGGTTACTGCAATTTATTTCTAATTTATACTTCCACTAACTAACACAGCTGATTCATTTAACATCCATGATGAGAGCCCTGCTGACTTTTTACACATAGCATTTCCCAGCTGCCTGTTGGTTTGTGATTGCATCTTCAAATTGCTGCCATTTGCTGTTTGCCTTCCAGAAGATGATTTAGAATGACTACTAAAATCTTTGTCCAGATGTTTCAATAACTTAAAAATCTGTGTCTTCAGACTGAGACTATTTTCTAGAAAACACTTTAAAAGTAATTTCTTGAGTTTCTTTTCAACATTCTATAATCTTGAATCATTTGCTAGAGAGCTTCAAGGAGCTGTTTGACATGGCTGATAAGTTTATATATCATTCTTCTGTATCATATAAGCTTGTATACTTACATTTACCTTTCAGTATCCATAAACAATGTTCAGTCTATGTGTTCCTGAAGTAGAGACAGATCACATTCCACTGAATCCAAGGCCTGATGTTGTGGAACTTTGTGTAAGCATTTATAATTTTGAATCAGCTCTTTAAAATCTCATGCTGAGAAAAATCCACTATTTTTACAGTCAAATTTTAATGTGTATATTAATTTAAAATAGATTTGCGAGTCTGAAACTGTGGCTAGATTACCTCTCAAAATTCTATTTAGTTAGCAGTTGAACATGTTTTGCATGGGACTAAATGGCATGCCCTCATAGGAACAAGGAAGTTAAGGAAAAACTAAATTAATTTATAAGAGATTATATTTATACTAAACCAGACTGAATGACTACTTATGATATTTCAAGATTCATTAGGCTAATTTGTTTTTTACCTGTCTTTTATCAGCAGTACTTAAATTGTTCACACTTTAGATCAAATATTGTTCTGAATATTATATTTATATATATATATGCTATAATATATAGTATATACTATATGTTATATTATTTGAATAGTAATATATAGGTATATTAACTGACCGAATTTTAATAAAAAGTACAAGATCTAGGTACTGCAAATATTAAAATTTGACACATACTATTAAAAAGATTATGAGATGTCTTCTAGGAAACATAGCTCAAAAGTAAGAGAACGAGGACTTGAACTCACTGTCTCCATGATTTTCTCTCTGGCTCTCTGGCTCTCTGGCTCGCTCTTCCTCTCCTGAATCTTGGTGCGGTCCTCTCTCAGAACTGCTTCTTTATCACTTAGCAGTGATGTCCTTTTGAAATGTGATAGAAAACTGTCTGCAGTAGGTGGTGATCAATACGGAGACCCACAGCTGGTCAGTGTGCTGAAACTAAGACACGAAAGGATGTTCAGCCCTAAACAGGTCATCTGTATCACAGTTCTTCACCTGAAGACTTAGGGATCATCTTAGTAGAGGAGGTAGAAGGATTCTTGGAGTCCCCCAGCTGTGTTTGACTATAAGAAAGCAATTTCTTATGAACACTATGTGACAGCTGCTCATATTAACTCTCAGTAGTTGTGACAACAAACATAAGACCCGTGCAAGCTCAAGCTAGACCAAAGTTCATTATTCAAAGTAGATGTTGCCACAAAGTTCCACTCCTAGGTAAGTAACTATTGACTGACAGTTTTCTCAGAACCTAGTTCCTAATAAAATGAGCATGCTAGACTGAAAAACCATACCTCCAGGAATACCTCAACAGCACAAGGTAGACTTGATAGGTGAGTTAAATAAAAGCCATTGAGTTAATGGATAGGGAAGTGAATTTCCATATCAGTACAAGCTTTGTTTCTCTATGTTCCATGGCTCAAATTGTTTGTGTTTTTAGCAGTATAGTCCTACTCTCAAGTTCTTACAACCTGACCAAAAGTCTACAATCTATGATGTTTGCAGTCCATTGGACCACACTGTACAGCAACTGATAAGAGGTACACCATTGATGTCACTGAGCCTTTTATGTGCACTGGGTTTTTTATTTGCTAGCCTATAATGTTTAGGAGGCATATCACCCAATAAAAGGAAACTCTGTCTAAATTAACATCACCTCCACATAAATATATTTTGAAACTCTACAGTAGGCTAACCCACAAAATTTTTTTTGAAAATCCATTAATGTTATTTCTTTTTCTTTGTATTCATTTTCTAAACTGGCCTTCCCTCCTTGTTCCCAATCCAATCCTCCTCCTTCTTCTTCTAGTCTTCCCTTTGTTTTGTTTATACCATTGCATTCTATCTTCCATCCCTGAAAACTTCTTCTTTCTTTGACTCCTTAATAATTTTCTGATATATGGGTATTTCATATGAAACACACATATCTGAAGATTCAAAGCTGACATCAACAAATGAGAAATAAATTTGAATTTTTCTGGCTCTGGGTTACAAAACTCAGAATCATTGTTTATAGTACATCCCATAAACTCTGAATTTCATAATTTTATTTTTGTTAATACTTTAATAATAAAGAATTGTGAAAATGTATCCATTATTATTTTCAATTCATCAGCTGATGGATATCTAGGATATATTCACTTTTTAGAAATTCACAATAAACAATTAAATGTTCAATATCTGAAATTCTAATATCTAAAGTCAATGAAAGTGTTGAATACCAGCATAAGTATAGTTAAATATTTATTTTGCTTCCAGATAACCGATTTAATGATAGTTTACTGATTTCTGATACAATCACCAATCCTGAATTTCCAGCATACATATAAATGCATTGAAATCAATTATTTGTTTTTGCAAATCCTATTCTATAAGTGACAACATTAAAATTTTCCTAGAAAACTTGTTAACAAAGGAGCTGATATCTTAGAATACAGGGTTCTATTTCTTTAGTTTCAGAAGTCAGATAATTTTAAATAAAGTGTTAGCTTTGAAGCTAATTTTCTAGCATCATAGTCTGAAAAGTAATTTTAATATGAGGGAAGAATACAAGAAGAGGGAGCAAATAAGTTTTACTCATAAAATTTGAGAAATAAATAAATGGACATGTACATGGACATGTAAATAAGCATGTACAGATACATGTACGTGCATGGACCAGTGTGTACATAAATGTCAGGTTCAAAGGACAGTGCAGGCTGTTATGTCCCGTAGGCTCTGATCTCCACCTTTTTTAACAGAGACTCTCAGGGAATTGGGCTCACCAGTTGAGCTAGACTGTCTGACCATAAATCCCCACTGACCTTCCTCCTTATAGCTACCCAGTGCTGGGACTGCAAATGCAGACCATTATGCACAGCTTCTTCACACATGTTCCCTAAGCCTCATGCTTCCTCAGTAAATATTTTGTGCTTTATGCTATCCCTATAACCACAAGAAAACTTACTTTACACAGTTGTATTGTTTTTTCCAAAGACCAAATGTGTTTTTAATAATGGCTTTTATTTATGCTCTAATTTATTTTTGTAAGAATAATTATTGTCATTCATAAAAACAAACAAACAAAAAAGCCGGATCTTTTACTCTCACACATTACCAAAAGAGAAATGTGTCACCAACCCAGTTACAAAATCTTTGATCTACAGTCTTTCTTGCTTGGAAAATAGGCTAGTTCAATGGTGGCACAGAACTTGTGAGAGTAGCCAACCAGTTTGACATAAGGCCTACTCCATGAGGAAGAAACATGATTAACACTGCTTGGATAACCAAGAATTAGAGACTTGACAGCCCAGACACATAGGGTAAAATTGAACCCTACTGGTCTAAAAACATCAAAACATCAATAAAATGACACCTAATGGTATTCTGCAATAGTCATAGATCACTGTCTTATCCAGTTGACCCAACCCTCAGGTCAGTCGAATGATACCCTTAGAGAGGGAGTGAGAATGGGGTGGGACAAGAGATGTGAGAAATGAAGACCAAGACAGTTTCTCTGATCAAGGACTTTGTTTATTATTATTATTTTTTTTTTGCATCCTTCATATAGGCAGGGCAAAAGGAATGTAATTGCCTTTGGCAGGGTTACTAAGTGACGAGGAATCAAAGGATGACCCACCAGAGGAATCACAAGATGTGCTAATAAGGATTGTTTGGAACATTCCTCAGGAGTGTTACTTGGAAAGCCCCAAGGAGGGAGGAGGGTTTAAGGTGTTTCAGGAAGATGACATTATTGCAAGCCCCAGGTCAGCCAGGAATGCACCATTAAATATGCCAAGAATTCTGGGAGCAGCAAGGTGCCAGAAGCCCCCCCACCACATCCAATCATCATTAAAGGGGCTTCCTCTGAAAGCAGACAGAAAGAGATGGAAGGATCTTCAATAAGGTATTTCCTAAGAGAAAGACCCTGAGTAGGAGGTCCTAATCAAATCCAATACCTCAGAACTTAGAAATTCCCATGGAAGAACAGGCAGAAAGATTTTAAGAGACAGAGGGGATGGAGGGCACCAGGAAAACACAGCCCTCTGAGTTGAGCCCTCCTCAACCCAGCAAGGAGCATATGAGTCCACAGAGCCTGAAGCAGCAAGAACTGAGCCTAAATGGGTTTGGTTTACCCCGGGTCCTCTGATTATATATTATAACTATTATAGCTTACTATTTTTTGTTTGCTTGTTTGTTTAATTTTTATTTTTTATATTGATTACAATTTGTTCACTTTGTATTCCAGCTGTAGCCCCCTCTATCATTCCCTCTCAATCCCACTCTCCCTCTCTCATCTCCTCCCATGCCCTTCTCCAAGTCCACTGATAGGGGAGGTCCTCCTCCCCTTCCATCTGACTCTAGCCTATCAAGTCTCATCAGGCTGCCTTGTCTTCTGTGGCCTGGCAAGGCT